CCCCCAAATTTTTTGGTCCCGTTGAGGACATCATCGGAGGGTCCCCAACATCTGGGTCCCATTGAGGATATTGGGATGACCCCAAACATCTGGGCCCCACTGGGGACATCCCAGTGTCCCCCAACATCTGGATCCCGTTGAGGACACCCCAATACCCCAATGTCCCCAAATATTTTGGTCCCCCCCCAGATATTTGGGTCCCATTGAGGACATCATCGCAGTGTCCCCAACATCTGGGTCCCATAGAGGACATTGGGATGACCCCAAACATCTGGGCCCCACTGGGGACATCCCAGTGTCCTCCAACATCTGGGTCCCATTGAGGACATTGGGGTGACCCCAAACATCTGGGCCCCACTGGGGACATCCCAGTGTCCCCCAACATCTGGATCCCATTGGGGACACCCCGAAGTCCCCAAACGTGGGGGCCAGTGGGGACGCGGAGAACTTTGGAGTGTCCCCAAACATCTGGATCCCATAGAGGGCTTTGGGGTGTCCCCAAATATCCAGATCCCATTGAGGACTTTGGGGTTATCCCCAAACATCTGGATTCTACGGAGGACTTTGGGGTGTCCCCAAAGGTGTGAATCCCGTTGAGGACTTTGGGGTGTCCCCAAACATCCGGATCCCATTGAGGACTTTGGGGTGTCCCCAAACGTCTGGATTCCATGGAGGACTATGGGGTGTCCCCAAACATCTGGATCCCATTGAGGACTTCGTGGTGTCCACAAATATCCAGATCCCACGGAGGACTTTGGGGTGTCCTCAAACATCTGTATCCCGTAGAGGACTTTAGGGTGTCCCCAAGCATCTGGATCCTGTGGACGACTTTGTGGTGTCCCCAAACATCTGGATCCCATGGAGGACTTTGGGGTGTCCCCAAATATCCGGATCCCGTGGAGGACTTTGGGGTGTCCCCAAACGTCTGGATCCCGTAGAGGACTTTAGGGTGTCCCCAAGCATCTGGATCCTGTTGAGGACTTTGGAGTGTCCCCAAACATCTGGATCCCATGGAGGACTTTGGGGTGTCCCCAAACATCTGGATCCTGTTGAGGACTTTGGAGTGTCCCCAAACATCTGGATCCCATGGAGGACTTTGGGGTGTCCCCAAACATCCGGATCCCGTGGAGGACTTTGGGGTGTCCCCAAACATCCGGATCCCATTTAGGACTTCGGGGTGTCCCCAAATATCCGGATCCCATTGAGGACTTTGTGGTGTCCCCAAACATCCGGATCCCATGGAGGACTTTGGGGTGTCCCCAAACATCCAGATCCCATTTAGGACTTCGGGGTGTCCCCAAATATCCGGATCCCATGGAGGACTTTGGGGTGTCCCCAAACATCTGGATCCCGTAGAGGACTTTGTGGTGTCCCCAAACATCTGGATCCCATGGAGGACATGATGGAGGCGCCCCCAACCTCTGGGTCCCACCGAGGACATCGGGATGTCCCCAGACACCGGTGACCCACCGAGGACACCGTGGTGTCCCCAGGGATGGGGTCCCAGCGAGGACAGCGGCCGAAAGAAGACGTGGGGACACACCAGGACCGGTGTCCCTACAGCTGTGTCCCCAACGGGGCCACGCGTGGACCTTTGGGTCCCGTTGAGGACACCGGGTTGTCCCCACGCCGCTGGGACCCACGGAGGACGTGGGGTGTCCCCAGAGTTGACGTGTGTCACCCCCCGTTCCCTCCCCCATCAGGACAGGGACAGCCCTACATATTTGGCTCTCAGGGAGGACGTTGAGGCGTCCTCCGATATCTGTGACCCACAGAGGACATGGAGGGGGTCCCCACGGACGGACGGACAGTGGACAGACGGACAGACAGCTGGAGAGAGGGGTGGGGAATGGATGCGGCCCTGTGCGGATGGAGATGTGTGGGTGGTCGGACAGAAGGACAGACGGATGGATGGGCGGAAAGACGGATGGATGGATGGACGGACAGACGGACAGGTGGACAGATGGAGGGATAGATGTACAGACGGATGGATGGATGAACAGGTAGATGGGCAGATGGGTGGATGGACAGACGGATGGCTGGGTGGATGGACAGACAGATGGACAGATGGATGGCTGGGTGGATGGATAGATGGCTGGGTGGATGGATGGGTGGATGAGTGGATGATGGACAGACAGATGGACAGACAGATGGCTGGGTGGACGGACGGATGGGTGGATGGACGGCTGGGTGGATGGATGGACAGATGGACAGATGGATGGGTGGATGAACAGACGGATGGATGGACAGATGGATGGGTGGATGAATGGACAGATGGACAGACGGGTGGCTGGATGGATGGATGATGGATGGGTGGATGGATGGGTGGACGGACAGATGGGTGGACAAACGGACTGGCGGCTGGTTGGATGGATGGATGATGGATGGGTAGATGGACAGATGGACGGCTGGGTGGATGGACGATGGATGGGTGGATGGACGGACGAATGGACAGACAGACGGCTGGGTGGATGGATGA